ATTGAACTTGGCACCATAAGTTAAAAGCGGCAAGACTTTAAGGACTTAAAATAATAATAATAATAATAATAATAATAATAATAATAATAAAATTACAGTTGATTCATGTTATAATTCGCAGTTCAATTAAATAGAATTGCAAGCCAAACATGACAATTTACAATGTAGCAAGTACAATGGAATGAAAAGCATGATGTATCATTTTATATGTGAACTTCCAAAGAAACTTCATCTTGCAATGAGCGAGTTGTCAATAAACTCTTGTTAGAATACAGTGTGTTCTCCAACAAAATCACTCTCAGCTGTTAAAAAATACACCAGAATTTCCAGCACCACCACCCAATGCAGGAGGGGTAACCCTGTAAGGGGGCAACCCACCTCAGCACTCTTCTTCAAATGGGCAGCCTTATTGCAACCCAATAGTGCCCTGCCTACTTTACGATTTCCTCCAGACCTGCCATTTTATTTCAATTTGAAAACCCTAAGCGTGTTAGCCTTGCAGCAATTTCAATTGGTAGTTTGGGAAACAATTTTACGAGACTCATTTATATTCCTGAGTGAAGAGAAACTCGGTGAGAGTAAAGGACCTTGCCCAAAACCCAGGTACAGTGATCAGGCATGAATTGAAAATGGCAGATCAAGTTTCCCATGGCCTGGGCCGAGGTTGTTGCGTTGTGTTCTTGGACAAGATGTGTAACTCTCAGAGTTCCTCTCTCCACCTAGGTGTACATGTGTTTAAAATGGGTATTAGAAATCTGTTAGGCGCTATAAGCAGGCTGGGATGAAGAGTTTAGTCAAGTCCAAAGGAGCTATAAAAAATGTGGTGGGCCAGTTTGGATTGAGATTAACTTTTTATAAACAATTTTTGGATGAGGTTTTTGTGATATCCAGAATTATCAAGGTTGAGTAAGGGGTTATCAACCAAAGCCGAAGGCTGAGGCTGATAACCCTTACTGAGACCTTGATTATTCTGGATGTCACAAAAACAGAAACTATCTAATAATTGTTTTATGATACATTGAACGAAAAAAGAAATGGAAGTCATGTTTTTGCTTCTTCACTGACAGCAAGCAACACAAAACACGCAAACTTGATACAATTACCTGTGACCTTGAGTGTCCTTGACATGATTATTGTATAATCTGTAGCTATATGACGTCACACGCACTGATTTAAAAAATTCACTATACGGTTTCGGCCAATCAGAAAAGAGATAGTGAGTTCAAGGTATAATAATAGCTAATACCATCCTTTTATTTCATTGTCCTTACAGGATATCGCCTTGGAGACACAGAGGCTGAAAGTTCACAACCTCTTCCAGAAACAATATCAAACAGACAAAGCAACAGTCAACAGCAAACAGTAAGCTACCTTGATGTTCTTCTGTGGAAGTACTTTTTTATTTATTTATTTATTTATTTATTTATTGATTTATTTATTTATACATTTGTTTTTTGTTTGTTTGTTTGTTTGTTGTCTGCTTGTCAGCAGCTGATCTGCAAAATGTATTAACCATTAGATTTATATTAAGAAGATTTGGGCTCAATGTTTACATTGGAATATGTTTGACTTGAAAGATTGGCCCCAAAGAATTTAAAAGGCCATTTTTAAGTAGAAATGAACATTATTAACTAAAGCAACAAAGCTTCCCAATTCTTGTGTCATAAATTAAGAATATTTTTTGTGATAAACTGAATTAAAATGTTTTGAAGCATTTATTCATCAATACATTTGAATTTGCTTTCTGGTGTTTTCAACTCTTTCCAGAAAGAAGTTGTTTTGAAGTTCTGGTCCAATGGCTTTTCTGTCGATGATGGTCCTTTAAGATCCTTCGAAGATCCCGCAAATGAGCAATTCCTGAATTCTGTCAAGCGAGGGTAGGGAATCTTGCAAATTTTGACATTGAAATTGTTAAAGGTGTTATAGGCAGGCCATGCACTTTTCGACAATCCTTGCCTCGGACATATCTAGTTATCAGCTGTAAAGAGCTTTAAGATCCTGGTTGAACCGAAAGACGGGTAATGCTATTAAAAAAATGTCTATCCAGTAGATGAGTGTAAGTATTACCAGCAACGCTCTCTACCTTTTTCCATGGTGATTTATCATGTAGACAGTGTTGTCCACCGTTTGTAACTCGGTCATTTGTCTTTCCCAACTAGACCTTTATTCTACTCTAAAACATGGTTTGTAGAGGAAGGTCACATAAAGTCCCGGGCATAAACCCTTAAAACATATGTAAAGAAAGATGGAGAACGAGCTGTTCTGCTGTGGATTTGAAATAAATAGGGGAGAAAGAAAGTTTGGAGCGAATTTAAACAAATATGCGAACCCTGAAGAGGTGAATAGTGGAAAGTGTTGTCCGTTTGGTTTGTCTTAACCCTCATTGCTACCCACCCCTCCCCTTAACCACAAGATACCAACTTTCATGTAAGTTGCATGTCACTCTGTTTGTTCACTTGTCTTGCTCTGTAGAGAGATTCCACAGGAATTGTTGAGGCAGTCACGGAGAGGAGAAGTCCATGTGAACATGGAGGATCACCGACATGAAGACTACGTCCCTCCACCCAAACCCAAAGTCCAGGCATTTTCTGGTGCAGGACATAAATTAGGAAGGTGGGTTTAGAAGAATGAGGACTCAAGCCAACAGCAAAGCTTACAGTGTAAACAAGTTTGAAAGGTTTTCTGCTACAATAACATATTGTTTTTAAAAAGTAAGCTTGATTACCAATCGTTGTTCGGGAAAGGAGCCAGAGCTCTTTCCCCGAATTCGGGGCGGGGTTACTTAGAGCGACTCGAGAGAGCGGCGGAGATCGAATCTCAGTTTAAAGTCTGAGACTCCTTTGATAAGCTTAGGACTGTCTCTCTTCGTTTTGCTCTCTTTTGTTCTTTCTTCCCTTCGTTCGTTCATTCGTCCTGCATTCTTTGTTTCCTTTGGTTCTTCGTTCCTTAATTCCAGATATATATATTACTCTCAAACGTTTGCACTGTACAGAAGAGAGATCTGGCTTTTCAAGCAAATCGATGAGTAACCAAAAGATTTTCACAGTCATTGATTATTTTTTTGTTATTTTATTCCTTAGTCCAGCTCCACAAGTGAAGTTCAGTCACTCTACAGAACAGCAAGCTGCACAGGCCGACAGTAAGCCAGCGGTACCAGCGACACCTTTGGACGAATCACAGCCCGTAACCAGCATACAGATTCGACTGGCTGATGGAACACGGTAAGTTGACACGTGTTTCATTTTCACTCACAATATGTTCAAAATGTTGTCAACAGTGAGTATAAAATATATAGGCATTGAACCACGGCCATGACAGCTACTATTCGTTTTCCGCCATTTTTCGCTGCCGCTGTGATAGCTTCACTTGTTTCCCTCCATTTTGAGTCGGGGTTAGTAGTCCCAACTACTACGTACGTGTATCTCCCGCCATTTTAGAGTGCGGCTGTCACAGCTTTTATTTGTTTCCCGCATTTGCTTCGCGGCTCGTCGCGGCCGTCAACGCTCCTATTTGTTTTCCTGGCATTTTTCGCTGTGTACGGCGACCATCACAACCTCCAGCATCTCCCCTCTAGAAATTGTACCTTTACATGAAATAAGGGGTGGCTACTGAAACTCTTGTGCGCAGCATTCGCAAGGTATTTCAAAACAGATATCCAGTTTTCGCAGACAGTAACATACATTACTGGAATTGAAATTTTGCCTGGCAAACATTAGAGGAATAAGTGAATATCTAACTGATGTATGCACTACAAACGGTTTTATCTCTGTGGGGAAAGAGTTTCCCCATTTGCGTGGTTTAATCAGCCCTCAGTTTGACGTTCTAACTAACATATCAGCTGTTTTTCTTTCAGTATGGTTTCGAAATTCAACCACTCCCATACAGTTGGAGATATTCGACGATTCATCTGTGCGTATCCTTTGACCCAAAAAAGATAAGTACGGAGCTCAAAAAACTAATTCTCCTCACAGGTCGCCGCATGTTCTCCCTTGACAATGGACTGATTTGGTAAGGAGAATCAGATTTCAGTCATCCAAACGGTTAAGGATGCACAAGAGTAAAACGGTTTAGATGAGTAGCCATTTTCGCATACAGCTCTTCATATTTTGCATAACATTACTGGCGGACTTAGAAGTGTGTCAAATTCGGGTACAAAGTGTGAACTTCGTGATTTTCTTGAGCTTTTCATGTAGTTGAACTACATTAGAGCGTTTTTAAGGGCGTCGAATTGGTGTTCCCCAAACGAAAGGAAGTTTTTCGTAAGAAACGAACGCATTTCCCAAAAGAAATTTCATTGATTACCGTACCAATACCCGCCATTAGCCAATCAGAAGCCGTGTCTACTGTCCTGATATCTTGTGATATCAAGTCACTGACCTGCGATATCATGGTCACTTGACCGAATTTGATTACGTTAAATACCTAATCGTCTCTTTATTGGTACTCTTCGGCGGCTTATGAGACTCGTTTGGTCTCGCCAAATATAAACCATGGCTCGATCAAATTCATTTTTCATTTTTTTTTTTTTTATTTATTCCATTCTAAAATTACCAAGATAAATATAAAGTAGACAAGTAAGAGGAGAACAATAATAATTAGGGTAAAAAAGTTAACTTAACATTGGAGAGGAAGAGGTGTGAATTAATTAATACTGAGCAAAATAATACTGGAAGAGTGCTTTTTTAAAACGTTTTCTAGTCGCTAAGTCACTTATAGATAAAGGAAGGTCATTCCAATAGTAACATCCAATAACAGTGGGGCGAAATTTCCTTATATTTATTCTGGAGAAACTGGGATTTAAGTGTTGTAGGGATGCACTTCATAACGTAGTTATGTTGCTCAGATACCAGAGATAAGGTGTAATTCAAAAATTCAAATTCGCCTGATATGCCGCTTCTGAAGCTTACCAAAAATGAACGATTAGGTAAACTACAATTCTTGACGTCTTTTGAGGACTAGTCAGCTTACGTCGTTGATAGAAAAATTGAAAAGCTAATGTTTGCCGTTTATGTTATGGAAGATTCCCATAAGCAACACGAATGAGCAAGAGAAATGGTAATGTAAACAATCACACTGTTGAACATCAGCTTACAAACCACAGAATTGATACTGCTCAATGCTTAACCTACAGTGCAAACTATTTTCAACACTGACTCTTCTGGGAAAGCTGGTACACCAACTTGCAATAAACACCTCCTAACAGATATCGATGGTTTGTAGCTAACTTTTTATTCCAGTTGAAAATTTCTGATTTTAACTAAATGTGGCTTCGTTACTCATTTTTTTTGTGTGTGTGTGTCTTTTTTTTTTTTTAAATATCCACAGTCAATACTTATTATTTTAGCCAATACCCTCACGGCAAAACGGACCAATCTTTTTAAATGGACCAGAATTTTAACACCATCGACTAACAGACACATTTCAGTTGACTCTGAAGATGACTTCCGCTCAGATTGTCGTAAAGTCGGTCATCAACAACAGTTCTTTTGAGAACTACCCTCACCTAGACGATCACACTATACAGACTACTGATCATGATACTCCTGGGTTCAAACCATTTAGTATTTATTTCAGGGAGCTTAAAAACCGCGATTTTGCAACGTTTGTGCCGAATCTGCCAGTCAGCTGAGATGCACTACGCCTTTCGCTATTTTGCCTTAACTTAGCCTACTGAACGTACAGCTCAAGGCCGCAAATGGCAGGAATGAACTTTGTCCTCATGACAACGTTTCCAAATAAAGAACTTATGGATGACTCCCAGAAACTGTCCGAAGCAAAGCTTTTAAATGCTGTGATTGTTCAGCGGCTCAAGTGAGTGAAAACCTGGTTGTTGATGATGGACGAGGAGGTCTGGTACTGAATCAAAATGCACTCGACACGCACGTGATTGAAAACACGTGAGTCCGATTTTGAATTCAGTCTTCTTATTGGTTGTAAAGACTGAAGTCGAACTCCTGGACTACATTTGATGGGCTTTATGGCGTTAGTGACTTTTTATTGCCCTTCAGCCATTTCTGAAAACAATTATAAATGAACTTCTATGAGAAGTGCTTCTAGGAAAGTCTCTCTTAACGAATAAAATTTCCGTCATGTAGCAAATGTTTAGTTGTGTTCTGTGTTCAAGCTTCTGAAACTTAGTTCTTCGTGTAGACAACGCCCTATAGTTATACGATAGCTACTTGCAATTTCCTCCCAGCAGTAAGCAAAGTGGGTCGAAAGTGTTTCAATAACCTTTTCCTGATGTGTTTCTCTTATAAAGCGCGTTGTTTACGTTGCGCGTGCAAAACGCGCGCTGTTTGCGTTTTTCAGCGTCACTTTCGTGTTGCTGTGAATTTTTTTTTTTTTTTTTTGGCGTTTGCAACTGAGTTTGTGACTCGTGTACTTGTGTGCCTTGACTCTTTAAACCTCAAGTTAGTCGGTGTGGTTGTAGTTGAAATTCTCCAGTGCTTGCGACGGACTATTCAACGGATAACTGCCATCAAGCAGTACTTTCATGTGGTTCTGTTAGCTTTTTAGGCGCTTGGGACTCTTCTTATTCTTGATTTTACCACTTCTGGGAGTTTAAAGATCAGAGAACTTAGAGCGGCGAGAATTGCGAAAGTAAAAACGTCAAACAGGAACGTAAAATATGGAAGAGATAATGACAAAATATAGACTGTCTGGGAAGAGAACGCTGAATTACTGTGTTAGTGAAAAGCGAGAGCCCTTGCTAGAAGGAAAAAATTCAGTGACTAGGGAGAAATTGTAATAGAACAAAAACAGACGCCACTGTCTCTATTTTGTTAGTTTTATTCGCCTTTGATATAAATGCAGGTACATTTTTCTTCCTTAGCAGCATTTTCTGTTCGGCTTCACTTGAAGTCAAGAAAAAATGGGCTGAACTTCCTTCGTAAGATTTATTGTTATTTCCTGAGTGCTTTGTTAAAAACCGTTTTATTACACTCCCTCTTCCTTTATTTCGATTAATTAGGACTGGACCATTTGCCAGCTAATTTTCGATTTAACGCTTCAGTGCACATCCTTGCTAGAGTCTTCCTTTTAGAAAGAGAAAGTCAAGACGGACGATTTGAGCTGATTGCGGAGTTTGAAACGAAACACCCGCTTTCAACTCGCTGAAGGAAGTAGTTGACTTCAAAAAGGGGTTCCAACCTTTCAAAAAACGAGATAAAAGAAGTCGTTTTGATAAATTCTAGGGCGGAAAGATCCATGTCTCTCTAACTAAATCATCCTTCAGATTTAAGACACCGGTATCTGAGCAAGGAGTTTTGATTTATGTAAAAACTTGCCCTTTTTTTCTCCAGCGCGTGGTCCCGTGTTTCATTTTCGTCAGATACGCATTTAATTTGGCCTGAATAGCCGCAGCGTACGTGAAAAAGAGCTTTCACCGGCTTTGCTTTCTGTAAAGGACGTTTAAACACACTCACAGCAATTTCTGGATATTTACAAAACCTTGTTGGGTTGCTCAAGCTTAGCAAACTATTTCATTTGTTTTTTTCCTTTTCTCTGTCACACACACACTCAGAGGCGCGCGTGCTCGTTTACAGCTCACGGGCTTCCTATATATTCGAATTTGACTGGTTTTCTCTACATAAATTCTAATGTTAAACTTTAAATCAATCGGGACAACATCGTCAAAGTGAACGACTGAGCAGTGAAAGATTAGTCGATCGCAACTGAATTTGCAGGTCTGTAGCACAGTTCTCTATTTTTCCTGCGACTTTAATTCTTCGGTGTGTCCTTGCATGCGCGAATTTTTCCAATCTATCTCGGCTGCTCGGGCTCTGTGTTCTTTCTTCCTGCAAATACGAAACGAAAGAGAAATGTTCAGCAAGATAAAAGCTTTCTAAATGTCGCGTTTTTAATAGCGAGAACTTGTTTACTCTTCATACGAGATAATGTGTAATAAATGACAGTATTAATATTTTGTACTCTCTAAATTTTCCCAGGGTGCTGTGTGAATGTCTAATTGCATTATACCTCCTTTTCTCTTCATTGCCAAACTTGATAACCCTTGAAGAACCTCTCACGTGTACAAAAAAACTTTTTTTTTCCCTAAAACTACACTGAACAACGTAAGCACAGATTTTGAAAACAACCCCTTAATTTCTTCGAGGAGTGATATGTAAATTGTAGATTTTATTTTAATAAGTTGAAAGGTTATAATATAATATTGGAATATTTATTCCCATGTTCGAGGGTTGAAATACGTCCTTAGCCAGAATTGGTTACTTAGAGACGGGAGTGACCATGGCTAAATGTTCCTCGAATTTGAAAGAAATTGCTTGAAAAGTTGTCAGAGCGGGGATTTGAAGCTAGCTTTTAAGCTCGGAGCCATTTGGGAGAGTGTAGAGGGTGATTTATCTCCAGCGCAAGGGAACTTTATTTTGCACCAAAAGCCAGGTGCTGCTCGCCTCAAAGGGACATATGTTGTTTTTTAAAGCGCAGCTGCATTTTCCAACCCAACTACCGGATGAAGAAAACGATTCACCCGATTTTTCTCCCCGAATTTTCACTTTCTAACAAGGAAACCCGCGCTCTTGACTCGTTTTAACCATGCGCAAAGCGTCCAGCTTTGAACTTTTCAAACAGCGAAAAGAAAAACACAGATTTCTGCAGACTTACTTGAAAATTTTCGGCGCGCTGGAAGAGTGTGTCTCTGGGTTTTAATCATATATGAAGCTAAACGTTGTCTTTTTTGCCTGAGTACTTTTGGTCGTCTCTCGCTGTCTGTCCGCTGCCCGGTTCCTTCGCCGTCGTTGTCTGTGAGCATGAAAAAAAAATTACTCAAGTTTAAAATGTGCGCTCAATTCACTACGCTGGAGTTCCGGCAAATTTTACAATCTCAAACCTACTTTCGTTGGGTTCTTCAAAACGCGAACTCAGCGTAGCCTGGAGATATGCGATATATTTGATCGCTTCTTCGATAACTTCGATCTGAAAAACACAAGAATACAGCGAGTTACCTTTTGGAATTTATCAAAGTCCTAGTCGCCGGCAATCAGTGGCTTACTATAAAGTATCGTACCTTAGAAACACGAGGCCTTGATGCTGTGGATGGAACAAGTGATCGTAGCCGTGAATATTCCAGCGACTTCATCTGCTTCTTGTAGTTTCGAACGCATTTCTTAATCTCGCGACTTCTTGAGTCCTGTAGTTGTTTTTCTTCGCTGCTCCCACTGCTAAACATTTTACGAAATCTGCAGGACTGTACGTGGAAATAAGCAGACGTAAATAAGCTTCACCGGCTAACCGAGAAGTCGAGAGTTATTATTCGTATTCACCCTTGGAAAATGAACTGATCACGTAGAGACTGTCAGGATTAAAGCAGATATTTACCTCTAGAATTTCGTCGGTGATTTTTTCAAGCGCAGTAGCGTATTTCTTGTGCGGCCGTTGTTTCACTCACAAGCGAATGAGTGAAAGGCCCTCCTTTCTGGCGCTAACTATAAATTACCAACATTACAATAGCACAATTCACCTGTAACGGCCGGCAAGACAATGAATCATAAACACAACTGTCTTTCACCAATCACATCGCGCGTTCACCCGGTTAACAATTAAATGTCTCTGCGTGGCGACCAATCAGCTTCGAGGACATCACACTACCGAACTACTGGTACGGTAGTTAATGAAGTTAAGAGAAATTTTTTTTCGTTTCTTGGGTTTTTTTTTCTGTTTCGAGTTTTGCGAAACCCTCACACGGGTGAAGGGCAGTTTTGAGGTCGTTTTCTGTGGCGAAAGCATTGCGTTACCTTAAGAAGTCCAAAGCTTCGTGTGGGTTTATGAAAAGATAAGAATCGTTGGAAAGAATTGAAAGAGAAATGTGGTAGCTGTGTTGAGATTCCATTCAGCAGTTGAACGTTACCTGGAGCCAGAGAAACACTTCTAGTTTTTATTCTATTCGGCACATTGACATGGGCGAACTTTCGTTTCCATAGCTTTCTCGCTTTCAATTTCGAGAAGAAAAAATATTAACATGGGAATAGCCAGAGCAAATTGCTTGCTAAAATTAAACTTTCATAAGCTCTCCTTTCACTCCGTGGTCGAATATGCTAGCAGATCTACATATATGTCAGTACAGCTGTTTTGCTGTTTTTTTGAAATTGCTTAGTCCATACTGAAAACCCAGAGGAACCAGTTTAAAATCTAAAAGATAATGTTGACCGCGTGTTCCGTAAGCCTCTCGAGTATTCCTGTGTTCCGTTTGTCGAGAAAGTCGAGCGTATTTTTTTTTTTACAACAGCACTTTTATTTTGCTACAGTTTTGAAACACGTGGTTTTAGTCCAGCTGCATTTAAATGCCTGCTAGCTCAGATAGCAACAAGAAAGAACCAGTTTACTCGCTTCTTCGGGTGGTTGTATTGCTCGACAAAACGGTGAAAGAGCTCTTGTTGAAGACCCTTAAATATTTTACTTCAATGTAATGTCGACTTTTTTCGATTTCCCTCAAAAAATCCGGCGTTTAACTTAATTTCGCCGGTATTTTGTAACTATTTCGGTGATTCTCTCCGTATTTTCTATTTCTCGTATAATTCAATTAAGTGGCGTTCTGTTGTGAAGTTCCTATGTTGCAGTTTGCCTTTTTTGCCGAAATAATGACATTTTTATGTCTTGATAAAGAGAAAACACTTTAAATTTAAAAGCCCGCTAAAAGACAAAGTGGAGTTTAATTACGGCCACCCCGGTTTCTTCAACCCGTTTCGCCGAATCTCGAGGATTTTGAACTGAAATCCCAAAATCTTTTTTTAGCATTTCGAACGCGTGAAATTAATGTGACGATTAAATTGAGTTGTGTTGCTTTATGCGGTAATAAATAGCCTGTCTTCAAAGCGCATCGATATAAAATAACACGCAAATTATAACTGCAGCCAATGAGAATGGAAATTAGACTTTGTTTATGAAAGGAACAGCGGGAAAAGTGTATCAAACAAGTGTTTTTGTCAGTAACAAAGTGGCGCAGTTTCGTGATGTATACATTGCCCGCTGCTGGCTGTTAGCGGTTATTTTGGTATTTTTTTCTGTGGCAGTTTCACCTACGGCTTGTGTTTAAAAGAAGAAGAAGAAATTGCCTGTCACTTTGTGGCATATTTAAATTTCTTTAAAGCACCGGTAAACGATTCATTGAAATATTTTCCTATGCTTTTCTACGCTTTTAAATCGGCTTAAAACTCTGATGCGAGATGAGATATTTCCTATTCGCCGACTTGCACAGCGAACAAAGCAATCGTTCGGTGTGTTTCACCGGCAATGATTTTCTATAATTCAAATCTGACATCGTATGTAAATTTGCTAAAGTGTTTTTCTTTTTTCGGAAGATCCAAATGCGAAACTGCCATTTATGGATGGTAAATAAGGCGATTTTTCCAGCTGGTGCACATTAGACAGAAACATCAGCACATTTTGCCATTAGAAACAACTTTGGTTTGATTAAATCTTCTAAATACGGATCGGATGTTAGGAAGAAAACAACTAATTTAACGAGCGTTTGAGAAGTGAGACTACCGAAAGGCCGGTGCAAATTGCTCTCTTTTTAACATCAGTGTCTCCAAAACCGTAGCGTTCACGGAGATTGAGTTCCTGTCAAGCTAATTGCACTAGCTTTCTTCGTGTATGGTTTGAAAAATTTCGCAATTGCTGTGTTAATTCCCTGTGCCATAATCTCTTAAAGTTGTACGGAACCCCAAAAGTGTTAATTCCCATAGCCATGCAGTGAAACTAACCGGTTCGTACGCGGCCAGCCACAGGGAGGAAGGTCAACTGACTGTACACGCGCGAAGTTTGAATGTTTTGACGTTTTTGCCCGTGTTGTTTATCTACGCGCGCGCGTGTTTGAAGATACCGCAAGTGCGAGGGTCTGCTTCTCGAATTTCACGTCGACTTTATGGAGGCGGAGAATCTCGCAGCATCTTCCCGACTTCTTGATGGAAGGAAGCAAGTTAAAGAAAAGTTATTAATCGTGAGTAGGAGGTCCGTTGACCCTGGACTCGGTATTGAGTAGTACAGGTTTGAACCCTAGCCGGGGTCATTCTATTGCGTTCTTGGGCAAAGGGCTTTACTCTCACAGTGCTTCCTCCAACACAGGTGTATGAATAGGTACGGCGCAAATTTAGTGCTGGGAGTGACCCATGGAGGAACTAGCATCCCTTCCAGGGGGAGTAGAGATACTCCTGGTTGCTTCATGCAGCGGAAGCTGGAGATAACCCTCGCGTGGTGGGCTTCTAGATTCGAACATACCTTTACCAGTACCTTTTTGTTTCCTTTTTTTTCCAGTCGATATCTGTTTGGTGTTCGCCTGCCGTTGCAAACATTATTTTAAGGTTTCCTTTACTAACAAGGTATCGGATCGTTCTTATAGTATGTCCTGTCGAAGGTGAACGTTACGAACTCCACTTTAGTAACGTGGAAAAAGAAAGTACTAAACAAGATCTGAATGTGACAGGAATTATAACAATTTTTTTTTTTTTTGGTATTTACCTTTGCGGAACTTCCAGAAACTTGTACAAAGTTATATTGGCAATTGGAAGCGATATTGCCACAGAATTGTCGTGAACATGTGATTCAAATGTTTCCCGGGCTGTTAATGTGATTAACTTTCAAATTTGGTCCCATCCACTCAACGAGGGAGAAATTTGAAAACGGAGTTTTCTCTCTGAAAAAGCATCAAATGTTTTCTACGCCAGAGGAATTTAGAAACGCAACAATCACCGGTCATTTTGGATTTGTGTTTGAGGAAAACTCGGTCAGGAAATCACGTGATTATCGTGACGCCATCGTCTTCGAAAAGTTCCGTTTTCAAAACGCGTTCCTTCCAAAGAAAAACGAAAAGCCGGCGTTTTCAAATTCTTCCGGTCTGAAGACCAAATTTCTTCGGCGTAGGGTGCACGGGGCCTTAGAGTAGCTGCGAGTTTGAGATCGAGCCTTAGCAGTACTTTTCAAAGCTTGTGTTTACGCTTTCGATTGTCCCATTTCACACCAATTTCCTGGTTGCTGACAGTCTCTTATTCAGCAACAACAGAGAGAATCTAAGGATTTGGGAAACGTATGCGTAACTCGATTTATCTGTTGACTAAGATTTTCTCCATTCTGCTATCAAATTCTTTTCATATTTTCAACCCGTCCGTCTCGCGAGTGTTCCACGGACGTTCGAATTTTGATAAACAGTTCGCACGAGTAGCGGATGACGAAGAAATAATTATAAATGAATTTAAAAAAAACTTGGCATGTAACTTTCGACAGCATACGATCATCCAAACTTATTGGCATACTTTGTAAACAAGAGCCTCATTGAAGAACGTATCTGTGTTTCTTTTTCATAAAAGAAGACAAAGCCCAGTGCTTGACCACAAAAGAACTCGAATTTCTTTTGTCTTTGAGCTTTTACTAAACCAATGTGTCGTTTAAAAGAAAAATCAAAAGTCGTTTATGTATTTTCTCGCAGTTCACCATTTTATTTCACTGAAGATGGCTTCACTGCGCGGTGGAAGGGGTTATAGTTTTGGTAATTTTTTTTAGCCAGTAACAACTTTTCGTCGTTGTAGGAAGTGTGTCTTTTAATGGATTTGGAGAAGTGTAGCAAGGTCCGTGAGTAGATCAAAGCTTTTTGTTCTCCGTAATTCAATGCGGCAGGTATTAAGTACCTCGATTAATCGAATGGCATTCATTTGAATTGTTAAAACTTCCATATAAGCGGCAACTGGCTCATTTTCTCATCCACTAATGTCGACAAATTCATTTTGTAAAACCAAAAGATCAATTTAGTCATTTTAATCAGCGAATGATTAGTAATATAATCATTTTAATTCGTGAGGTTTGTTTTAGTACCAGGAAACGCACGCAAATGGTAATTTTCTTTTAATTCAAAAGGCCCAGTCTTCGCATGATTAATTAGCGCGCAATTTGGATATTGAGCAAATAGTCGCTAGGTAAGGAAGATTTTATCAAATTTTTGTCCCGTGAAAAAAACCGGATGTAATTTCTTTTGCATGCAGAGCTATAAATATATTAAGGAAAATTACAAACACCAGGCTTGCGTTCAGATTACAAACGACATGATCTGGTTTTTCGTGTAGCAAATACCTAAATTATGTTTTCTCTTATCATTCGAATCACTTCTTAAAGTCTCAAAAATCACGAAACAGCTCCTGGCAAATAAAATTCTTAAAACATATTTCGATTCGAAAAGGATTAAAATATCACATTTCAGTATTATGACAAGGTTCTTTTAAATGCATTTTAAATTTTGTCAACTTTCAAAGGCAGAACAGTGGAGTAACGAAAACGCGAAGTTTCATAATATTCGGACCATTGTCGCGGATTGTCCTTACTAGCCGGTCTTGAACAAAGATACGTATGCATCGCATTTATTTTATGTTGTGTATTTAATAGCAGTTACAGACGTCCTTACATTCATCACGCGATCTTCATTTTCTTTTTTCCTGACGAAAAAACGTGGTAAAATCCACTCTCTAAGGCTTTCAAACCGCTACGAATGGTAGAATTTGTTTTTAACAGCAGTTAAAATGTTTACCCACCACAACGGGTATTGCATTGTATTATACCTCGTCATAGCTCCTTTGAGAGCCAGGCATTTCCATTAATGAATACCCTGAACGCAATACCTTTTTTATATCTATACCTATTCAATCTCTTCAAGTGGTTGCCGTGCTTATCAATAATAAAACCTGTTTTCTGGCGATGTTGAATCTTCTATTGATATTCTATCGATCTGTAACAATGTGCGACTGGAGATTTGTCTGGAGTCGCTCTTGTGTCTCCAAGACAAAGTTCCATGGTCGTCGAAAATATTCTTTTATAGTCCTCCATGTCACACGTGCCTTTTATTGTGAGCTTTGTTTCATTCGGTCACAAAGTCGTCGCTCATAAAATCGTGAGACAATTGTTTTGTCTCGTTTAGACTGGGCTAGTGGCTCAGTTCAACTTTGTTCGTGAGCTGAAGGCCCAATTTATTAGGCTGCAGTAGTTGTTTTGTTTTTTCTTTCGCCGTAGCCGGTCGATAATGAAAAATTAACGACGCCCAGAGAAAAAAACAGATGCAGAACCTATACCAAATTACTCAGTACTACAATTTAGCTTACATGATTCTGAATTTCCCGTTCCGACTGCTTTTGACAGAAAAAAAAAAAAAACTATCATGGCTTTTTTTGGTTTTTTAAATGGATTTTTGAAGCTGGATTTTACAACAGCCCCGCTTTAATATGGCAGATATAGCCTGAACCTTTGTTGGTTGGCGAATAATATCACCTTTTTTGTAGCAACACAAAAGGAATATGACAATTAGACTGACGTTAAAATGCAATCACAAGCATCGGGGAGACTGACTCGCGCAAGGTTTAGCAATGTTGTGATTGTGGAAATTTGTGCTTGAATCACTGGCTTGTTGTTTCTCACGGGTTTTTTTTTCCCTTTTCTTGTTTGACCAGTGCGCAACTTACCAGGCCAAGTAACATCTCTTTTCTGGATTGCACGATTACCTTTTTCTTCCCAAGCCCACAGAAAGTGGCGTCACCACTCCCTCGGGTCATGATCTCTCCCGGGTCCCTCCAGACTATGGTTTTCTATTGACACCCAACGATCTTAAAGTCCCAGCCTGTTTCATCAGCTAACTTTTAACGATTAGCTCCCAAAGATAAGACAGTACTTTACTATACTTCAGCTGTGTCATTTCTGAGAGGGTACGACATAAAGTGGTAAATTCTAAAAATACCCGTGGCGTTTTGATGTAAATGTCTGTTTGGAGTGCCTTCATCATCCGGCTATACTTGTGTCAGTTTCAAACTTGTAACACTGACAGCTACTACAGACACGCTTCCTTCGCCTGGTGTTGTTTTATACTAATACCGAAAGAAATGAGGTTCGCTATCCCAGCTTGGTTTTAATTTTCATCTTAAAGAAAACGATTTGGAAATTTTGTTAAAAGGGAGTTGATTTTTCGACCTTCGTCCATCACCCATGCGGACAGTGTTACTGATCTTATTGTAATGATCTTAATATTAAGATTAATGAGCAAGCCCAGCCCGAAATTCGCCGGCATAGTCAATCGAACGTTCGAAAATCGAACTCAATCCGTGGATTGAGCATTCTGACCGCGCGTAAATTGGAGCGAGAGCAAAAACTCGACGAAGCAGAGTGGGAGGGGGGAGGGAATGAGGCCCCACTACCTCCTGCGTCGTCGAGTTTTTGCTCTCCTCACAACCCCCTGCTTATTCGAGGTTTTGCTCTCGCTCCAATTTACGCGCGGCCAGAATGCGGAAAAGCTCTTCGTACGGGAACATTTGCTACGCAGGCTAAGAGCGCTAACGTGTCCTAGCGTGAAGCATTATCATTACATTGCGATTGTTGAAATAGCCTGTCAGTCATACCAGCAGCAGGAGTAATCATTTTCCACTGGAAAATGGTTACTCGGGAGTGTTTACATGTAACCACTTAGAATTTTTCAAAGAACCATTCTAGAAGAAATGAGAAGCACAGTTACACTGTCATGTACTAGTTCTTCGCAAAGTTTGACGGCTCTCAACTGCAGACGCTAAAAGTCTTTCTAGTAGATGTGGCTTTCTTGATGTTTTTTGTCAGTTAGTTAGTTAGTTAGATTGTTTGTTTGTTTGTTTGTTTGCTTGTTTGTTTGTTTGTTTCTGTGTGTGTTTATCTGCTTATTTCTTAATTTTTTCGCCATCTGTTTTCCTTGTGGCCGCAGTGAGTTGGACGAACATTCTAATATCCTTAATAATCAATCAATTTTGGTCACCTTGTAATTTTACTACACTCGCGTAGGGACATGTACATCACTAACTGTAACTGGGTAGTGATCGATTTGAAGATAAGGCGGTAGATCTAATGATAGTTATTGATGTGTGAATGCTCGTTGTCGGCTGCCGATAAGTACCGCTTCAAGCTGGAACGGAAGTGTTTTGGTTGGTGATGTGAGAGAATGACAATTGCCTCTAAATTTAATAAGAAAGTTTGAAATCTGCACCATTGGATAAGTTTGTTAACACCTAGCCATTTTGCCTCGTTAAAAAGACGAAAAGATAATCTTGTTTAACAAATCGCTCGGTCAAAACAGCTTCCACGTCTCCGTGGGTGGTAGGTCTGTTTACAATGTTCAAGTATTTAGTTTATCTGTTCATAATGTTCTTGGCGAGCCTGCTGTTTATGGTATAATTAATCGTTTTGAGTTGAGTCGCAAGACTTTGATTATCACAGCGGTTTACATCACAAGCGTATCAATAGATCGATTGTTCTTTAATTACAATGATATCAATATAGACCGGGCTAGAGGTAAAAAACCTGACAAGAAGCAAAAAAAGTTTCTTGTGGAGTGATTGCATAACTAAACTATTCGAGTAGAATTCTTCAATCTTGACCAATTCATGATCAGGGTAAACAGGCAAATGATAAATATATAGCGTTGGTGTTGGATTTGTTGAACTGCACGTGTTAATTTTACTGTGAAGTTTGATTTTCAAGTGACTGTCACGATGTGTCTCGAGGTGCGGTTGCAAAGCGAAACATCAGTCCGCCATTTTGATGTTAAGTTCTTTTATGATTCTCTCTGGCTTAACTATTGTAAACCGGTAATGTTCATCGCCAAGGCTGAGCTCTGTTTGCTGGAAATAATATACAGAAACTATCCTACATTTTGGTTTCAAGTTTTTTCGAAATTCCGGAAGAAAGACCTCGAAACTGATGGATTTTCGAGTCCTTTAAACCAGGAATCCTGACAGGAAAATACACACTAGCGCACTTGGGGGGAAAATGAGGATCCGTGACTTACAGTACAGAGCGAAAAAACGATCTTTATATATCTACCTACCGTGTATCTGTCGGGTTCGGGAACTGATTTGTAGCACACGGAACGGCTTCAAATGACTGACGCAAGGCTGAAAAGCAAAACGATTCAATTCAAAATCGTTGGTAAGTCGTTAGCACGTTTTAATACACAATTTAAAAAAACGAAAGTTTTAAACCCATATTTGCCATGAAAGTTATGAACACTTACGAGACCTTTGGGCGACAAATAAAGCTTAAATTTTTGGCGGGCCGTAAAGCAGAGTACGGCCCGCTAAATTGACCAATCACAGCACTCGTAGTAACTGAGAGATATAATGTATAGAACTATTTATTTATAACTGCGGTTTCCTTAAACATATAGCGACAAATGTTCCTTAAAAGAAAAGGAAATTGACGGAAACCCTTTGAAAATATAATATTGCTCAACTTGATTCCTCTAAAACAATCCACCGTTTTGACCATTTGTATTTGGGTAATGTGCAGCAAATGCATATGAGCAATAAAACAGTCATTTCGTCCTCAAAATTTGTTCTCGGATTAATTTAATTAGAAAGTGTTTTCCAGTCTATATTACGGCCCAACCCTCCAGTGTTAGCAGTTAATTATATACATGTGCGCTTTTTGTCTTGTTCCGTCGGCGCTTGGCTAAATTAAAGAATAATTGGTGAAAATTGAGCTTCTCGAAATCGGTCTACCCACAGTGAAATAAACACTTTGCAATGTGTTTAGCATTAGGATTGACCGCGATTTATTTTAACATTCTTCACAACATCTTGTTCATATTATGTAATTTTCATCGGTCTGTTTCAAAGTAACTTACGTGCGATCGGGCGTTCTTTTCCAGTTCGCGGCGGAAAAATAAAGAATGCTTGATCACCAGTTAAAATGAATGTTGATAATTCAACGGAAAAGATATCTTGACTTGTTGAAAATACTGGACTTCTGGAGACCAGTGGCTTCAATGATCTGAAAAATGCTTTCAAGAAGTTATCTAAGAAGAAAACTTGTCCACTATTTGGTAACAATGTCCATTCTCTTCTTTGGCGGGGCACAATTTAGTTACGAAACCTTTTGACATAACTGCACGCAGCTTGCCGCGGTTTGGCAAAGTCTTAGCGCAACCATGAAACTTTTAAATGAAATTGATGAGAGTTTTTCCGGTATACATGTGGCTGGACATGCTGATAAATATAAACACAATTTATTTAGAAACTTAAACACTGAAGAGTTGTAAGTTAAATTTTACTGAGAGAAAATAATGCAATTGAACTAATTCTGCCTTTTGTAAAATAGTTAACGACGTTTTCCATGTTTCAAGGTAATTGGCAGTGGTTGGCTAGCCATAAACACATGCCTACTGAGAAACTTTGGGTTTATAGTTAGATTCCCAGGGGCATCTCATTTCACTGTCCAAGGTCTCATAGGAGTATCTTATATTGTCGCTCTGTTCCCCCGGGCGATAAGACTATTTGTGCTATAACTGGATTTCATGCAGCGGATTAATCTGAAGACGAACCACAAACATTTTAACCAAAAAAGACTGAGAGATTTCTGCAAGACCACCTCTAAGAATTATGCTTTGCACACTAGACAATTAGATTATGAGGGCGAGATTTCTATCGCGTGATAGTTGACGAGGGCGCAGCCCGAGTCAACTATAGAAATCGAGAGCGCTGTTTTAGTATAAATCTACTAGTCGTTCAAAACTTCATCTAAAGCATCTTCATACTGTTATTAGCAGAGAAGCGGCGGCCGTTTTGTTAACAACTGCACACTGCTACGCTGCTCACTACCTACAACAGAATATAGACTGAGAAGCGTAGCCAATAACAGAACAACGGCAATCATGATAGAACGCTGTAGATTTATACTAATGTAACTAGATTTATACTAATATAACTTATATACTCGTAAGCGAAAAGAAAATGTTGTGTTTTAGCTGGATGGCCAGGTTTCATGCAGGGGATTAGTTTGAAAACGAACCACAAACATTTTGACAGAAAATCTCTGAAAGAACACTACTGGGAATGTACTGTACGTAGCATATCCCGCTAAGTTCTACCCTCAAAGAAAGGAATTTCACTTATTTTCGAGAATAGCTGTTCCCAGCAGTGTCCATAAGTTCTGTGTCTGTAGGTAAATAAAAAATTTGAAATACTACCAACTTGTTAAGTGTTTGTGTCTCATTTGGCTCTCGTTTCTCTTCTCTAAGCCCGCCAAATAAACTTTTTCATCGGCGCTGGTTTAATTAGACAGTTCTGTCCCGTTTCTAAATGGTTTCTGAAAAAAAAAGGGTTGAAACTGCTCATCAATGGGGAATTTCTGATTATGATCAAAACTTGACACAGATTATTATGTACAAATGTTCGAAAACCTGGTATTTTCATGTTAATAGTATTGAATTTTTTTTCTTTTTCAGATATTAGACATTCTTTTGTCCGCCTGGCCTTCAGAATGACCTTTGAAAGTTATACTTTTATTTTAAGTCTCTTATCTATTTCTGATCATTGGAGAAATTGTCCCTGTATGTCGTATGAATAGCTTTTTAAAATACCTGACACAGAAATGACTGAATGCGGCCATAAACGGGCAATTAAGTGTAAATATCTGTAAGATTTTTGAGCGGTTTGCAAATTTATCTGGCTTTTTCACATTTATGTCAAACTTTCTACATTTTAGTACGACGCGGCATAAGTATTTCTGTGCTGATTTTAATTTTCCACAATCTCATTGCCGAAACAGTGGCAGCCCACCGGAGAAGCTGGCTATTTTAATGTAACTTGAATTGTCCTATCGTAGAAGAATTCTTCTTTCCTTTATCTAGTAAAAATGGCGTCTATTTGATCAGGAAGCAAGTGATGCTGAACGTTTTAGTACCTGGATGCTGTGATAGGAACATGGCGTTTTCATGTCCCACATTTGTTATCGAGAGATTGATGCATAAGTGTAATTTATCTATTTTTTTTTTTTTTTTTTTTTTTTCATGTTCATACAGTGGCCTTCAAATCCTGACTGACATATACACCAAAATCTAACAAATCCTCGGATTAAGCCTAATTATAATTATGGTTTGATGTAGAAAAAAAAACCAGTAAATGATAGGAACCCATTGAAAACTAAGATTGACAAACAATGGTGAGGTTCGAGGCAAACGAATTGCTGTGTAAACGAGCGTGTCTGAACATTAACAGGATAAAACGCTAAGAACTGAAACAATTATTTAAAGGCAGTTGTGATATTATCATTTGGTTTGATTTATGTTCGTGACTGATGAGGGAGGCTGAACGAAACGGAACATAACATGGCTTGACCTCAGTATCAGCAAAAATAGAACGTCTTCAAGTCACTCAAAGTGTTCGAATTTTCAGAATTTTTAAGCTCTCACGGGGATATTAATAGATAGTTTGGGAAAAGTTCTTATTTTCTGAAAGATTAAGTCTTTTTTTGACGGATTGGTTTAATCCGGCATGTTTTTCCTCTGAATTAGAATAGGATGTTTTATATTTTCAAGGAAGTTTTTATGGCCGCCCAGAAAATAAACTTATAACGGTCTTTTTACACTTTGGAGAGGAAATCGTTGCCTTTTCTGATATATTTCGGGGTAAGCTTGTTTCTTTTGCCACTCCGTCGTGTTTTGCCAGTAAATAGCATTTAAAGTTTTCCTGATCGGATTTGGACCAAATTAGCAGTGATTTAAAAATCTACTGCTAATTCCTTGAATTTCCGTGGTTTTTACCCTGCGGCTTAAAATCCCAGGCGGGAAGTTCATTGCAACCAGTATTCCTGGGTTTCTCGCAAAAAGAAACAGATGTTAGTAAACTCAGTATGAAAAATCCAAAACTTTTTGCACCGCAGCGAAACCCAACAGAAAAATCGCCATCGACGCAAAATCCGGGGAAATGACTGGAGGGGAATCCTTTACACTCTGTGCCTAAAGCTAAACTTGCCACGAAAAGATAACTTTTCATCTCAAACGGTGAATACCGCAAACGATAAGTCAAAGTCGTGTTACAATTGGAACAACCCTGATGAGAGTGTTGACTGACGGAAGACCACAAGGAGAGATTCCGGGATTTTATTGGTCCACATCGACCGAGGGGCCACATAAAGTCCATCACGGTAAGGAGATTTTGAGCTTGTTTCTGTTAATCACGAAAAGGGAAACGTCCATACGAGCTGTCATTCAGCTCGAGTTGCCCATTTATTAACGAGTACTTCATTCAACATGGCACCCCGTGCAAATCGCGAGTACTTCAGAGTGAGATTACATGGCTTCTCGGTGATTAATTTAATTGCTTTAGCGATTATTGTGGTTTGTATGGTGGCAGGAGCGGAATCGGCCCGCGAGACGAAGGCAATAAAGACATCGAAATCGAGTAAAGAAAAGGTAAGGCTGTCCGTAATGCGACTGTACAGTACTTCAGTTCAACAATGAGCTAATTCGAATCGCTGTGTTCTTTGAGAGCTGCGCTTGGTCACGAGTAAAGCATGAAAATTCGCTTGAATGAATACGGCGAGGTCCCGGGTAACATGCGCTTTATCTACCATCAAAACGAAAACTAGGCGTTATTTACACAGTGAAGTGGGCTTTAATTATTGTGGGAGATACAAAATCACCATTTATGTCCTCAGACATCCACACGAGGTTTACCCGCCGAGTAGATGTAGTTGGGTTTGCTGTCAAATTATGAACGAGTTCAATGAAGTTTTGGCCGTCTCGCCAGATGGGTAACAGATAGCCACCCAGGATCCACTCAGTTTATCAACAGCGATATTACATGGCAAACTAAGAAAAGCCGCCATCAAAACCGTTACGTTTCTCAATTTGTTTGATTGCGCACCCATCCCTGTCTAGCCGTGTATCCCTAAACACTTCTAAATCCAAACAAATTCTAACCAGAAGCTAGTTTTAATCTTCTCGGACGGATGTGGAGAGAAAAACAAATATTTACAATTGTTTAGTATCTAGACCTGTGCTAAAGAACACTATTACAGACAGCTCAGAATAAGCCTTTATTCGTCCTCTACCACAGACGCTGTTTAACTGATTTTAGCTCGTTTCGCGATGTTATTGATTCGCTGTGTACCAAAAGAGATGTTTTCGCTGGGAGACATTAAGCGTATCGTATCAAACACAGATGTGTCTCGTATCTGCTCGCCACCCATTAATTCTGATCTGCACTGTCCAGCCGGAGAAAACAAACGAAATCGATAAGTCTTTTGATCTAATTATTTTTTAATAAGATAGTCAGTTTATGGAAAACCTGAATTGACGCCGGGAAGAACATAGAATGGGAATGAAGCATTATTTTTGCTCGAGGCTAAACCTGTTAGTTGTGTATACTCATCTTACATCCATACGACGGAGAATTATTTTACTTTTAACCTTGTTGGCATTATACAGGAGAAGTGCGTAGTCCGCCAAGATGAAAATCATCGTTATTTTGTGGAGTGTAGCGTCCCTGGAGAAAAAGGAAAAAAAAGGGGGAAAGGCCCGAACTCTCCCGGAGACAACAAAAAACGCCCAAATAGCCAGGTTAGTAAAACTTAGATAACGGTTTTTTTTTCTTCCGCAGGTTTTATTTACCCTACATAAGTAAGATTCAAAAACGGCGCGGTTATGGAGAAATAAAACTAAATGAACTAGTCGCTATTAACTCGCAATATAAATCGAAACGAAATGAGGCCATTTTCAGACTGAGGAAAAACTATGTGCCCACATGGCCTAGTCTTGTGACTGTCGTGTTGTTATCTGTTAATGACTTATTGTCGTGGGTAAACGAAGCTCGCTACGTGGACCAAACTAAACATGACGTGTTTTTTTTAATATTATTGTTTTCTTTTGTGTTATTTTTATTTTGGTAATTAGTGATACATGGTAGTGGTGTATCGATAGACAGGCAGATAACGAGCTCCACAGTTTAAGACGTTGTCACGCAAGCCTCGTAAATCGCACATTATCATATTTAGAACTATGATTTACTTAGAACCTAGTAGGATACGTTTGGGAGTCTTCTTTCCTAAGAAGAGAAACTAAACAACCCTTTAAAAAAGTCGTTTTTGAGGGAAACTTTATTTTATCTCCAGCTGTAGATCTAAGAAGTTCCATCTTGTTAGTTGAAGCTCTTTACTGTGTTTGAGTCAGATATCGTTTCAACTTTGATCTTGTGCCTGGTTTGGCCTTTGAACGTTTTCCAGCATATCTGCCCAACTCTGGAAAGTCATTGCCTTTTCTTTAACCAAAGTAAACGCCCCAAAAAACACATGCTCAAAAATTCCGTTATGAACGACATATTTGCAACACTTAATCAACTTGCCTTCTTTTCCTCTCACTCTATCTCATCAGGGTGTTTAGAATACATACCCCTATCATAGCACGACACCTCTCTGACATGTTGTTTTATTTCTGATATCCCTGTTGGAAGAACAAATCTTTCAACATGTCCGTTCACAGTCACGAACGGCACCGAAATCGTCTCCATTTTACCATAAAGGCGACGCGTTTTGCCGACTTCAACAAGACAAAAAACCTTAGTTAGCCTTCGTTTAAACTTAATTCAATTTCTCATGATCTGGTTTTTCTAGAATTGAGTTCTTCTGGTTTTGATTTTCACGAGGCGCCAAGCCCAGCATGTGATATGAACAGCTCGTTTCACTAATTAATTAAAGTGGATTATGGTTTTACCGCAAACAAGTAGTGTTCCGTCGACAATAGCTTGCAAATAATTTTGTTTATCTACTTGTGTGCTCATTCTGGTTAATCCCTGAGCAAAAGGGCTGCATTTTTAAATCTAGATTTGAAAAGATAGATTCTACTTTGAGAATATCCCGGGGGGCTTTAGGGTAGGAAACCATATGTGTCAGCGCACGGACGCGCTATCTAACTTTTCCTTCGTTTTTCAACAATTAACCCGTGAGAAACTCTCTCATCGCTCGTTCTGTTAGCGTGATTAATCTGTTGCCGAAGAATTAATTCTCTCATTGTCTCTCGCTTCTGGTTTGAAGATATTTAAAACTGATCATGGCTTATCCTAAGAATTCTTCGCAAGCTCTTCAAACACAGCAATACATAACTCTTTGATGGTTTAACAGCATGTGCTGTTCCACAAATGTTTTTCATACCCTTCCTGTACAACCAGTGCCTCAGAAAAATATTATTCGTTCACCACGAAGAAGATGGCGGCACATAGGTATTAATTTCACAGTCTGAAGCGCCTACTGAAGAACATATGTTTTTTTTCGGAATTCTGTCTTTGAAAGATTTTTGAGGAAGCAAGCGCGGCCTCGGGCTGCTAAACATACCACAAATTACCCGGGATTCTACAATAGAAATTAGAGCTCGGACGTGAATTTGTAAGATATTGATTTGTAAGTGTATGTTGGATTACGATAGTGGTAAAAGTTTTGCATTGAAGATAGCTAGTCTGGGATAGGGTAGGGGTTTTTGGTGCCTAGTCTGGTGTAGAATTGTAAAATCAAGTTGATCATGGTCCTGTATAGGGTAAGGATTTCAGTGTCCCATTGGCACACCCCCACCCAAAGATTTACAGAGTACACCCCCGGGTATTTCCATCACAAAAGAGTAGAGTTAGGTCTAGAGATGCAAATTATTCTAGTCAGTACGTATTTGGCGCTGTTGATATTGCCAACGAGGTTACAGTCTCTCGTTCGAAAGCATTTTAATCCGTTATTTCAAACCATGGTCTAGTTTTGCGAAGGTGGTAAGCAAACTTCCAGGCATCTCAGCGAGGTTCTATCAAGATATGAATTAATTCGTACAGGTCTGTAATCATATGAATGCGAATTTACACATGATTTACACCACGAGTGATGTTTGAAAATTCTCTCATAATTGCACAGCACGAACCTTTAGAAGAGAGCAATTTCAAACAATTTTCAAATATCACTAGTCGTTTTAATGCGTAATTGCTCTGAACTGGAATTTCAGAGCAAATTGAAAATTAACAATCAATTTGCCCGCTCTCGGTCAACCCCGCACAATGAAGTATTTTTCTCAGACATATGGTAAATTAAGAAATTAGGCAAGTATATATCAAATTAAAATTCTCAGTTGATTTTAAGAGCTTTGTTCTGCAGTCACTAATAAATGTACCATATTAATGTGCAATAGACCTTTCCCGCATTCCAGTTCAGTGCGTGCGAACAATGGCATAAAACCAGTTAAAAGGCTGACCGGACGGCTGAAAAGGGTAAATTTAATGCGCAATATTTTGGTTAGACAGGACTAACCTTCTTCAGGGGCTACACTGAAGCTAAGTGGACATTTGCTGTATTTTTGTCAACCCTGACTTCGACTCGACGACATTGTTTGTTGGAATACTGAAAAGGCCTGTTGTATTGCAATCAGTGTCACGTTTGGAACCCGTCAGTTACCGAAATTCTGAACAAAACACTTCAAAAGTGTTTAAACATTCTTATTTGAGCATTTAAAAAAACCTAGTAACCCCCAACACCACCACCGCCTCCCCCCTCCCCCCGCGCCCCTTGCCCCTCTCCTTAGTTTGGTGCAAGACTTGACGTTATCTGCCTACCAGAACACCCCTTGACTTAAAAAATCGTTTAGCTGAGTCGCCAATAAAGCCTGTGTACAGCCCTCCCCTCCCCTCAAAAAAAAATCGGGGAGAGAGTCGCTCTTCCGGATTTTTTCGAGGGGAGGGGGCGGCTGTACACAGGCTATAGCTAGTATTGTGCATCTCCGGTTAACGCTTTTAATATTATGCTTGTACTGATATCGTATTTTAATGACCGATAAGGAGATAATCATTTATCGCCTTTATATAGCTTAGGAATTAAGAGGTCATATCTGGATTATTGTACTCGTAAAAAAAAAATCGAGATCTTGTCAGATTCTATTAGGTAAAACTTAAATATGCCTAGAATGTAATCCAATAGATTCTCGAGAAGTATAAATTTAGTCGCGGATCTATACTTAGTCTCGGATAACTGCTTTGTACCAAACTAGATTTCAATGATCAACTTCCGACAGGCACAAAATCACGAACGATAACTGCAAAGTTTGCCCGACCAATATTTATTGCACCCTGTAGCTGCTAGGAAAACGCTGGCCCACCTCAGATAGGTTAAGGTGGCTCTTTGACGCCTTAAAAAAATAACTAATTAATTAGTTAATTAATTACCCTATTCATTAATTAGTTCAATGGTGCAATTCATTCATTATAGAAGCTTGGGTCTGGCATGAAACATAGACTTGACTGATTTTGATCTGTCGCCGGCGGTAACTGAACTGGTGTTTTTCTTGTTTGCCAAAAGTAAATACAGACAGTTTATGTCCTGGATATACTTGTAGTACTGTTTAATCAAAAGGTCCTTTAATAATTTATCCTCCCTCGAATCCAGAGCAAGGACATTTACGAGGAGTGTGCGCCAAGTTGTTCGAATCCTATCCCGTTTCCTTTCGGACCAGACTTTCGTCTCCTGACCTAGTGGTTTGCATGCATAGCTGACTAGCCGGTCACGCCAAATGAGATTTTCTGGTTAATTCGCTTTCCTTTTTTTTTCGCACATCTATAAAAAAAAACAGTGAGATAAAAAGAGTTCTTGTAAATTTCTCTGAAAACAATTCCCATTTTTACACCAAAATGGCACAACATTCTAAACCAGCCCAAAAATCATTTCTCAAACTCAATAAAAATAAATTAAAAAAAGGAATTGTATTCATTTCATTTGAAACATTAAACATGTTATAAAGCTCAGTTACATACGAGACAATAAATTCTTTGTGGTCGAATACACGGCACGCGTTCGTCAACATTGAAATGTTACATAACCCTCAGTTGAAAAATGGGAAAGATTATTTATAGAATCATTTTGAACTCCAAAACCTTGTCGGCGGTGAAACCAAAAAATGCAACATCGGGCTCATTGTTTTGAACGTAAAACAGTAACGATAAATTAAAGTACATAGTCTTTTTCTAGGTACTGTGTGGCAAGAAATCTTTTGCGGGAGGTTAATTTTGAGAATCGGCGATCGATTTTTTTGCATTTTGCGGGAACCAAACAGTTTTGCGATTGTGGAATACTGGTTTTTCAGTATCACTACGTTACAATTTCATGTTGCCCTAGTGTGCCTGATTGCTGGGAAAACGGCTCAGCTTAAACTACGGTACCACTTGATGCATATCCCTTGAGTTTGTTTTTAAACGAAAGAGACGTTTTAAATAAATGGTACCAAGATTCTACTTGTGATGTTTGCATGTATAATTTCACCAGCGGAGAAAATTATTGCGGGAACTTTTTTCGCGGGAACGTATTTTTGCAGATCGTGGAAAAAACCGCAAAAATCGCAAGAATTAGAACCCGCAAAAGTTTCGTGCAACGCGACAGTCGGAACAGAAGAAGAAATCTTTGCTGATCTGGATTTATGCCGGATTAACACCATTAAAATTATCTGTATGAGTTCCATTAACCACTAAATCTTTGCTTCTCTGGATTTATGGATTAACACCATTAAAAGTATCTATATGAGTTACATTAACCACTACCAGCTCAAGTTAGGATATTTATCTTCTCGAGGTTAACCGCGAACATTGTTTTTTGTTCGAAATAGAACTTTCGAAATTTACAGAAACTGTAACCGAGCTGCAACCTCTAAAGTCGTAATCGCTATGCAAGTGCGCTGTCCCAGAGGTTTTCTTTTCGTTGGCATGTTCTCTTTGATTGACAAATAGGAAAGAGAAAATTGTACTACAAGAGAAATTGTACCACGTGACCTAACTGCATGGCTACAGCTTCAGCTGTTTAATTTAATAAAGAGTGTTCAGTTATATAACGCGGAATGTCTCAATAGAGATTTCTGCGCTTTATCAGTTCGTTTTTGGTTTATCACGAAATGAACTTACATTTGCGGTTAGAGTGTGAGAAATATAAAAACCTATAGATGCCAAATCCTAAAGTGGTGTCATCCGGCTCAGTTTTGAATCTCTAGGACAGGTATAATATGCCATGATAACCAAAGTGAGTAGCGGCTTAACTCCAGTCTGTTTTCATGGCGATTTTGCTACATTTTGGTCACCAAATGCACCAAATGTTCCTAAAAGATTAAAGATGAAAACAATAATTGAGTTGATCAAGGGGGAACAAGTTTCAATTGGTTTTATGGCATTTTTCCAGAACACGACGACAAAATAGACTTGACAGGATAAAAAAAAAACGAGGAAAGCGATAGATTCTCTCCATGCTACGCACACACGTAAAAAAGGCTTAGGACACAGCAAATGAATTCAGATCAAATCATTTATTTGTGAAATTTCTGCGTTTGTCATTAGCTAGCACAGAATCTTGTGTTCTTCCAATGGTGTTTTTTTTTTTCCCGTGCTTTCAACGTTTTTTCAACGTTTTTGACGGTGAGTGTTTCCTTACCAACCTGTAATAAACTCGGACTGGAGACATCGCCGCGACATTTTAAGTCGAAGGCCAATGCAAAATTGTGATTTACAAGCGATTCACTAGACGAAATTTGGCGACTTGGTTCGAACGAACAGGCTGACTTGCACTCGCAAGTTCAGCTGCGTTAAACGGCTGTGTTTTACCTGAATGCTATCTCTCTTCATTCGTTTTTGTTCTTTTCTCTCCTTATCTATTATTGTTTCAACACAATCAATCGGAAAATGCCGTTATAGTTTTATAGTGGTCCCGGACAATTCAGAGAATTTGTTGCTGAATTTTAAAGATGGTTATGAAGGTGAAAAAAACGGTTGGAGAATTATTAGTTGTGAAATAAATCGGGGAAAAAACGACTTGAAATTAGATTTTACAGTAAATGATTAATCGGATTGTTGGAGACGTTTCTCTGTAATGGCTTAGCGGGATCAACCTGCTCTACAAAGGCCCGCTCATTGATCAGATCCCTTGTGTCTATTATCAGCAGTGTTCTTCTGAATGTCGCGGAAAGCGAGGCCAGAGAGGGCAGCGCGGGAGAGCTGGATCGAAAGGACAACCGGGCTCAAAAGGACCGAGGGGACCCCCGGTGAGTACAGTTTCACCTGAGTATGGAGACCACTTCGCACTTGCTTTGCTTTTGCATTGCTACGCTTAGCGATTGGCTTAAAAAAACTCCCGCCACTTTGTCATGCAATCAGAACTAAAACCAAAACTAATCGTGAATCGTTCGCACGCGTTTTCCCGCGTTTCGCGTCCGCTACATGTAATTACTTTGAGATTTGATTGGTTCACTGGATTGTCTGTGTAATTTGATTGTCATAGTCGTGTGATGATGAAACATCATATTTTCTGTGCTTTAGGGAGACGACGGACGCGACGGTGTGAACGGAATGCCGGGGCCCAAGGGATCGGTACGTAAATCACAAGGTCTGGATGAGTGTGGGAAGGGGAGGGTGGGGGCTGAAATCTCAGCTGTAAGTTAAATGATAGGACATTCCTCGGCTATCAGTTAAACTTTTAGCCCATAGACACGTTGCATCATAGCAATACAGTATACATCCTAAGCCTCGCATTCATGTGAAAAATCCTTTGTCTGGAAACATAAGTACAAGGCTAAGGACGTCTAAAGTAGGGTCTATATCACGGTTATGAGTGAATTTTGGAGATCTCAGATCTCAGCTTTCACTTCAGAAGAAAAGCTGACAGTTAAAATTCTCAGCAATCAACAAAACTCAATTAAGACACTCAAATCTATTCTCGTATTTTTCTCAAATTTTCCATTTGAGCCCTGCAAACTTTATTTCAACTAATAAGGATAATAACTACTCTGTACCCCAGTACCAATCAGAAAACAGAATATTCCGTTTTGGGCCATGTAGTGCCGGAGATAAATATTTAGTCAATTTTGTCTCGCGTTTTATGTGCATTACACAGTTACAAGGCTGCAAATAGCCATTGACACATACAATTAAGTGCACTTTAATCGTTTTAGCTTATGATGTAGCTTTTGAATTTTTTGATAATTCTTCTGTTCTTGTATGTATGCATTTTTTCGATGTTTCATTGTTTTGTTGAAGATTGGACCAATCGGAAGGCCCGGATTACAAGGTCCTCCTGGAATACAGGGCGGCAAGGGAACAAAAGGAAACCAGGTGTGACATTTATCATTTAATTTCGCCATGATTGTATTTGAATACAACATTTTTATGACAACTCCAAACCTATATAGATGGAAAACTCGTAAGCAGACCATTTGGGAACGGAATCGAAAATGATCGATTACTTTACGGTTTTCGAAGAAGGCTCAAACTAATGTACAATCAAAAGCGAAGAATTTCTTTTAAGATTATCTTTTGAACTCTGTAACTTCCGAGTTGAGTCGACAAGAAAATGGATCTACATCACTCAAAGTTGATGGGTAAAGCTACCTTTAAGTGTCTTTACGTTGACTACTTTAATTGTAGCGGCCACGGCATAAAGACAATGAATAAACTAACCGCCGGTTTCCATTTCATTCAGGGACCTCGAGGGCCGTCCGGCTTACAAGGGCCCCCCGGAATACCCGGAAACTGTGTGACGCCATCTTCATCGAACACCACTATCCCCCCGGTATTTTGTTTGCCTGGCAAACCGGGCCTCAAAGGAGCCAGGGGTGAAACCGGAAAGCGCGGTTCACAGGGCCCCCAGGGGCCCCGAGGGAATAAAGGACCTAGAGGAAGCAAGGGCAGTGAAGGCTCTCACGGGAAAAAAGGCGACCCCGGTCCTCCGGGGGATTTTGCGGGGTTGACTTGCCTGCCTCGGTACACAGGGTGGGTGGACAGAGGGGACTGGATAAGTGAACAGCCGGAGGTTCATTGCGATAGAAGAGAATTCTTACAAGGATTTAGCCTGGAAGAAAACAAAGCTCGTGGTCAAAGAAGATTCAAATACACATGTTGTGCGCTAAGATTAACCATCCCTGGACAAGGTTAATTAACAGTTAATGGCAAAAACAAGTACCAGTGGTACCCGTGCGAAAGCATCTGTTTGAGGACTTGCTCTAACTCCTCAAACAAAGGTTCAGGTTTCAAATGAGGTTGAAACGAACATTTCCAATACAGACCGGCTCTGAGAATTTTACGGAATAATCGTCATAAAAAAGCGAAAAAGATGTATATAAAAGTATTTTCAAGCGCATGAAATTAAAGATATTTTAACTAGCACAACCCCTTTTTTGTACATACGGTATGCCATGAGCAATCAAACAAAAAGAGAGTTAATCCCCGTATGGTCCTTAATCCTCCGTACGAAAAAAGATGGCGACTGGTACATTTACCCATAGTTCTTAGCGCACGAAAACCTTAACAACGTTC